GGTCTTTTCCAACTGAGCGATTCTGTGATCTCCTGATCAGAGAAAAGCAACCAAATTCAGCAAGATTTGGGAAGGGATCGGACATCTGCATGCAAGAACAGGAAGTGCTGTAACCACTTGTGGGGAAAGAATAAGCATCCTGCCTCGCAACTTAAGTCGAAAGTTCTGCAAGTACTAAAACTCAGTGCATAGAGACTATCCCACATCTATCTGCTGCCCTACTTCAACAGCTTCCTCTAATAAAGCCTAGTGCTGGTCACTCTTGGGTTGCAAACTGGCACAGATGCCCTCAGATCAGATCCACACTGTCCCTCCTTTCTTTCAGACAAAACAAAAAGCAGCTCCTCCTCCCCCAGATCTAACAGGATATGAGTTCGTATCTCCCTTGCTTACCTTCTACGACCTTGTGATAAGCAAAGTGCAGATAGAGGAGGAAAAGCATATGCAGAGCAGCAAGGGTCCCACAGAGGATGAGCCGTTGGGTATGGCCCACAGTGCGCGACACCAACACCGCAACCTAGGAGAGAGGTGGAGATAAGAGACAAGGTAGCTGCCACCTGAGCCTCTGCCACTGCAGTCAGGAGCACGCAGGAGGATGGGCCAAGTAGCAAAAGCCAGCAGAAACACTGCTTTGAGCATTTTTTTAAGTTTGCATCACCAAATTCAAAGTAATCTGACTTTGTTTCATGTAGGTGAACCTTCCCCGGTCTTGTCAAGAGCTCAGAGTGCTCAGGTATGGCTCTCCATGGGGAGGGGCTGCAGGGGGGCAAACCTCCTGCAGCTGTTACAGCAGGTGAGGATATTAAGCCAAGTGTCACCTTCATACACCAGTGGCCAGATGACACAGGAGCATCAGACTGTTCTTCACAGCAGCCTGACTGGCTGCAAAATGAACTGCCCAGCCCAAGGAACAGAAAGCAAACACCACTTCTTCCCTCCCCATTTTTTGTCCCCAGGAGGGCCACAGGCTGCCTGTCTCTTACCATTCGTAGTGTAGAGAGTCCACCAATGACCAACCAGAAGATATAGAAGAGCGAGTGGAAGTGGATATTGTAGGTGACAAAGAGAGTGATGCAGTGTCCAAAAAGACCATAGCCCTGACAAAACAAACATGTCCATGTTACAAGTGTCAGTCCCACACAAAGGGCCGTTGATAAAAGCACCAGCAGCCTATTCCTGCAATGCTTCACCAAAGCAAAGCTTCACAAACTGCGCATTCAATGACAGCCAGCCAGCACAATTTTAACAGCAGCTCATACTGAGGTATCTGTCTGAGGGATTCAGAGATGTCAGAGACTATAGTCTGGGAAATAGAAGAGCGAGCCTCTGATCCCAAACAAATTGGAATCTCCTGTTTTTTCCACCAGGCTCTCATATCACGCAGTGCAAAGCAGGAGACGTGCACGAAGGAACTACCGTCTTGTGCCATCACTGGGCCTGGGACGAGGCAGGTCAGCAGAGCATCCTGGAATCCCAGGTTGTCCCAGTGCAGTCACCTGGGACCACCGATTTACATGGACTTTGCCCATTCTCTGGGAAAAGCTCACTGTCATGCTGGAACACCATGTAGCCAACCCACACCTTGGGGCATCCCTGTCTATACATACCAACAGTGACAGCATCTGCACCATCGTGATTTGGGCGTTGCACAGATATGCCAGGAAATAAATGAAAGAGGAGACACCCAACCAGTAACCGAAGCAGGTGCCAATGGCTGTGCCCATCAGTGTGCCTTCCCTCTGTGGAAACAGCATCAGGATGAGGAGGACTCGAAGAAGTGACCTGCCAGCACCCAAATTCCATCAGAGTTCCCCAAGCCTTTCCAGGCATCATCAAACTGCTGGTTGGCAGCACCCAGGATGCCATGTGACCCAGCTCTCCCAGCAGCAGAGCACCACAATTTTCTGATGCATCCCTCCTCCCATCCCCAAACCCATCTGCTTTTCAGCAAGATGCTGTTCAGTCATGGAAGAGGTTTCCTCTCCCTTTCTAGTGTCATTATCACAATCCAGAGCCCAGTCATACTCAGACTTATCACTGAGACTTGACATACAATGATGGTGTCCGAAGTCTTCATCCCATGCAAAAGGATGGCCACAAGCGTGAAAACCAGCATGAGGGGTCCATACAGCTCGCCTGCAATCTTCTACAGGAGGAGACAGATCAGGGAAGGTTTGGTTAGTCCTCCCGAATACCAGACTCCCCACCCCAAGCCACGCAAGAAGTGCCTTGGGTGAAGTTTATCACCTCTCTGCCTGAGAAGTAACAGCAAGGCCAGTGCTGACAGGAGCCAGGCAGTACAGATTGTCTGATGAGGAGTCTGGGATGCGTGAAGTCTAGAGGTCTGGAGCTGTACCAGCACTAAAGCTAGCACACTGGAATTTGGAACAACCACAGGAAAGCGTTCACTAACATTTTCAGACCTTACAAACTCAGGTCCTTAAAAACATGCACTAATTAAGTTTTGCAAGGTGTCTGTTGGACGTTCACTTGGGCCATGGAGTCTGATCCAGCAAAAAGGAACTCACCTGTGGGAAATTAATCATCTTCACAGGAATCATGGACTCCAGCAGTCTGCATCACAGCAAAGCAAGGAATGACATCAGCAGCAGGGAGGACAACATGATGGTTAACAAAATACTTCAAAAGTAAAAGTAAAAGATCTCATACCCCTGTGACCAATGTTTTCTACTGTGGTCGTAGGCCTTGGGGGACAAAGATTTCTTCTAAAGGGTCACATAGGGTAACTAACGGAGAAAAACCTTACTGTCAATCTGTTACCTTTGCTGGGGGGGATTCAATGAAAACATGAGAGGTCACTGACAGAACAGCAGGAAGGAAAGCCACCTTTCTTTATCTGGACTCACAAAACTTTGCCTTTTTGGACACAACTGTGTCACAAACCCAACAGAAGCCACATAATACAGCTGAGTACTAAAAGGCTGAAGATACCCCAAAGTCCTTTTTTTCTGCCTAAAGCAGCTCTGCTGAGTGACAGGGCTGCCAGCCCACCTCAGGGACTTCATTAAGAAGAGCAGGACAAAGTGCAATGAGTTCCTCCATATCCGAGCTTTGCTGCAAGGCTGGCAGCCCACCACAGCGTGCTCACTTTGCGGGGTCGGCCACCCTCTCACTCTCAGGAAGCCACCACCTCCCCGCCCCTGCCACGTTCCCCTATGCCCCTGTGGAGAACACAGAATCACAGCATGGCAGGGGTTGGAAGGGACCTCTGGAGATTATCTAGTCCAACCTCCCTGCTAGAGCAAGATCACAACCAAGAACAGTCTGGTCCCAACCTCCTGACATCCACCCTTATAGGTATTTATAAGCATTAATGAGATCCCCCTCAGTCTCCTCTTCTCCAGGCTAAAGAGACCCAGCTCTCTCAGCCTTTCCTCGTATAGGAGATGCCCCAGTCCCCTCATCATCTCAGTGGCTCTATGAAGACGGCCCTGGCCGGGCCCTGCCCACCTGGCACGCACTTGGACAGGCTCCACATCGAAGTAGGGCCGGAGGATGTCGATGTTGGCGTAGAGGCTGAAGGCCCTGGAGGCCTGTCTCTTCCC